TCGACTACTAAGTGCACATGACTGTAGTATTCACGTGCCTGACTCCCTTCTGATAGGGAGCCTTTAATGACCAGTACAGAGAGGTTATGATCCTTTTTGTCCCTAATTCCAATGATTTGATAAGTTGCTATCTCTTCTTATCTTCAGCTTTCATCTGCTGGGATTATTCGATTACCAAAGTTTGAGATGGGAATGGCTAAACCTAAAGCTAACAGTAAGCCTGTCCTTGCTTCTGAAGATGTTTATATCGTCACTGTGTATGGTTCTTTTACCTGTTTTTGCTGATACACTAAACTGCTTGCTAAATCGTATATATGTTTATTATATATGCTTTTTATACTTTTGACAGCTATGGGAGAATATACTGCTTGCAAGTTGATAGAGTTTCAATGGTACTGCATTCATATAGATTTTACCGTGATGCTATTATCCAACAGGTAAGTGCTACTCAAAACTCCCTCTAGTTCCTTTCTGTTACAGGCTTTATTCAATTGGTTTTGTGTTGGAATCATAACCTTACTCATTCCATTTGCAGGGCTCATTACCAATTTATTCGAGCAAGGTTGCTGTGAGTGTGGTTGATAATGTGCTACTTGTGCACCAAGTAGATGCGAAGGTTGTTATACTCTTGACATATTTTCAGATTCTCGAGCTCCCATATCTGCTCCACTTCCTGTACTTTTGAGAGGCTTTCCAAGATCCAATAATTTTACATCTCGACCCAGCACCAAAGAAAGTGAAAGTGTAGAGGCCTCTGGTTCAAATGATAACGAAGCAATTATTTATGGAGATGGCCGGACCTTTTTGGTTCCCAACCTTATTTGTGATATTGCAAATAAGTGTTTATGGAAGATCCACTTGGACTTGGAGGCAAGTCTTGTTGGTCATACTTCTTTAATTTGTTATAGTTAATTCTCGTAATTGCTGTCCCCTTTATCTCCTTGTAGGCAATTTCTGTTAATTCCTCGGAAGTTCCATCAGTATTAGAATTCTTGCAAAGACGGAAATTGGAAGCCAACAAGGTCAATTCTCAGCCAACTTTCTTTCTCTTTCCACAATGAACGGTGATATAATCATTGACTAGTGTTAATATATATTGTTCCGATATTTCAGGCTAAACAACTATGTTTGGCAATTACACAAACTATGATTATAGAATGCAGACCTATCACCATGGTTGCCAAGGCAATGGATGTTTTAGTCACCTCATATGCCCTCTCTCTGAAAAATGGCAGTTATTTCAAGGGAATAAAGACTGAGAGGACCTCATTGAGTGTGTCAAATGTGAGTGGCCCAGGGCAAGGCATAGACGTAAACACTGGCAGAACAGATGGACTTGGAAAATCCGTCCAACACGAATCTGCTTCCAGAGTCAACAGTGTATCTGTCAGTAGGCCTTCAAATTATTAGTCTTCAGAGACAGAAGACAGTTTCAGCTTTGACCATAAAAAATCAGCTCAAATGATACTCAATTTGATGGTGGCAAAGTGGATACAGGTGCTGAAAGTTCTACCACTCATAATCCGTTAAATGCTAGTGTTTCTGAGCAGCAGGAGTCTCATCTCACTTCACCTGCAATTTCACCTGATGAAATGTACAAATTTGTATTTGTTCCTATCAAGGAAGAGATGATTGGAGAGCCTTCTTATCTAGTTTCCATTATTCTTGAACTTTTTCGAAGGTATGGTAATCATTTGAAGTGGTTTAGGACTCTTGTGTATAACAATTCTAAAGTATTCTTAAAATGGGCTTTAATCTTCTAAAGAGCTACTATAGTCATGTTCTGGATATATAAACAAACCTCCCTGTTGTGGATAAGCTTGTTGTCGAATCGTGTTTTCTTAACCATTTAATGTGGTCAATAGAAACATAGATATTCAATAATTCATGTCCCGGTTACTGTGAGGAAGTCCTTGGCCTACCCTTCAACTGAGCAACAGATTTTATGTGGCCTTATTACAAGTCTTTGGAACTTGGAGTTAGAAGTGTATAATATACGTGTGTACATATATGCATCAAATAAACTCTAACAAGATATTGCTGCCCTTCCTTTTTAGAGCAGTTATAATGATGCTCTGGGGAAAAAATGGAAAACAAAATATAACCGTGTCAAGAGCAGGTAGAAGAATATTAAATGCATGGTCTAACAAATACACAAACAAAGCTAAACCCATGCTTATTGACTTACATGGTTATGGTATTCGTATGAAAAGGATGTGTGGGTTTGGTTTGTACTTTGTTCCGTGAAATCTTGTGTGTTTACTTTCTGCAGTGCCAATTTGGAAAAGGTCAAAGTGCATCCAAATCTGTTCGTGTTAACTATTCAACTATTGGCCTGCAGTGGACAATATGCAGAACTTGGTTTGTTTGTCATAAACAAGGTTTACAAGTATCTTTTTACCTTCGCAATAAGTGTTCCTTGGAAAAGAATGAAAGTATTGATGTTTGATGTAGATTGAAACTTTTTAATAGTTCAATTTCTTCTGTTTCAGATTATTGAGCCCTAGAAAGAAGTTGCTTTACAGCTGCTAGAATCTGGTCGTCAGAATTTTCAAATTAGGAAACTGGGCTCAGGTATGCTGAGGCAGCTTTCTTTGCATCAGGATTATGTATTGTTACTGGTGCAAGATGGATATTATCTTGAAGCTTTACGTTATGCACGGAAGCATAAGGTAATCCTTCATTTGATGGCTGCATTTGAAAATAAATATGTTAGTTGTTTATGTAAAATGCCAATTTTATGAATCTAGAACTGTGGGCGTAGTATTTCTTCATCCAGCCATCGTTATTAAAGTTTGTTGAGATATTTTAGGCTTTCATGACCTGGACAAAGAAACCTTGTCTGGTTTCACCAAAATGTTGGTTAATTTTCCATGCTGTAACTATGCATATTTCTGAACAATAGGTTGTTACCTAATTCTTTATTTTGAAATTGCTGGAAAGATATAGGTATTTGATGGCATTTCCTTGAAATACCCATGTCCGGATTTGACCCTCCTCCAAATGCATGGAAAACTTAGAAAAATCTAAACATACCCGTGTTCAGCACATATTCACATCTAACACTGGCACTTGAATCCGAGTAACATAGGGCATTTCACCAAATCATAGTTTAAATTGTTTCAGGTGACTACCATTCAGCCCTCGTTATTTCTGGAAGCAGCATTTACCTCCAATGACCCGCACACCTGTCTGCGGTTTTGAGATTCCTTTCAGATTTCATTCCTGGCTTTGTAGCACTTCGGATTTCTTTACGTACTACTGCATTCTGAATGAGATGAACTCTTCTTCAGTTGTTGCATGAGTGCAGACACGAGAGACGACAAGAGAGTAATTGGCAGTCATAATAATAGGTATGCAATTTGCCGTTTTAAATTATTTTATCACTCTCTAAATAAAACCATGACAATCATACGAAATGTAGAACATAACAAGTGAATAGTCAGAAGTAGATTCATGGCAATGGCAAAACAAGTATCATTCTTTTCTTCCTTTCCCCCCACTTCTGATGTACTAAACATCTTTATTTTAATATTTGAACAATCTGTTCAATTTCCAATTTCCATCCATTGTTTTTTTTTAATGATAAATTTCCATAAATTATCAGATTTCTTTTATTTTGTTCAATTCAATAAATTTCATTCTTCGTATGTAATTTTTTTATCATTTTAATCTTGATTTTACAAGTATTATGTTATTTTTCTGGTATAATAACAGTTCAACTATAATTTGTTGTTGCTATAGGAAAACTTATTAAAAAACTATATGGAAATTCAGGGATGGTGCATTGTGATGGAGGGTAGCGGTTTAAACTTTCATCATTACAAATGGTTAAATTTTGATTTTCATCTCTATACTATGCTCAATTCACGGATTTAGTCCCCTGCATTTTGGCTTGGCATAATCCGGTCTTTTATCGTTGTTGTCGTTGTTGTCGTTGTTGTTTTCTAGTCCATACCACTAACACTGTTAAAAGTTTTGTTAGTCGATTGATTCGATTTTTTTTATATAAAAAAAAGGACTCAAAATTACTTGTGATTTAAAAGGTAAAATTATGGATTATCGGAACAATAATTTTCCGTTATGTTGTTTAAATAATTTGAACTCAAACCTTGTGATTTGGATTTTTTTTTTTTGATTCCATATCATTGATTAATGGAGTTGTTTTAACTTTTTTTTTTTTTTTGAAAAGGGAATTGTTTTACCCTGCAAGTGATTTAAACTAAAGCAGAATATTAATAATGCTGGACGAACTCAAATAGCCAGAAATTAAATCTAATCTTACTCTTTCTTATAAGAAAGAAAAACTATACTCAACGTTATCATTTTTTTCTTTCTAAAAGTTAAAAACAGGTAAAATATTGTTATAAACAGATTATCAAATCATTAACACTGGAATAAATATCTAATGTGGTTCTGTATAATACTATTTCTAGTCTCAAACATTCATATACTATATTAATTTTATCATAATTTAAAATAATCAAATAAATTTAACTTTTCATATTTTTAATCAATTTAGTCTTTTTTTAATACTGTTAAATCAATCGCGATCTATTATGGATCAAAGCAGTAGTTTGATAAATGTATTATGTCACAAAATAATCATCGATTATTGATAAATTGTTATTATGCTTAAAAATTAATAAGAAAATAGTATGATATTTTTGGAAGAAAATAAACAAAAATGATGAGATTTTTAAATAAGTTAAATTTATTAAATTATTTTTTATTAAGATCAAATTGATAAAATATATAAGTTTTAAGGATTAAAACTATCATTATCCTAGTAAGTATCATTATTTCTTCTAAAATTTAACGACAGAGTAATTTTTTATATATAATATTTTAATTGAATGACATATTCATAACTTTTAACAGGAAAAAGTGACCCATTTATTACAAAACCTATAATTAAGTGACCTTAAAAAGGATAAGTCGGGTCAAATGAGAGAGCATTCGAACCCAATTAGCCAAAACTCAAAAGATGATGGGCTTCCCATTGAGCGCCGAGTCTACTCCTTATCTTCTCCTAAACCTGTAAACAGCTGGCACTACTGTGCTCATGCCTCAAAGAAGTTGCTTTGCCAGGTTAGTTTGCTTCTCTTCTGTTCTTTTCCTTTGTATTTCCCTTCAAAATTTATAAACAACGAGAAAATATTTCAAAGTTTTTGAAACAGTAGATTTATTGGCATAAAAATAATTGAGGGCCCTCCGCAAATAACCTTGTTTTTCTAGATAAGCTTGTATGGAATGGATGTTCTCTTTACAAGTTCTGGGCATAATTGCTTATGCTGAATTATGGTACCCAGACTTTGTTTGCTTAGATATTATTATTTAATTAAACATTCATAAGAATTAGGACTTTCCGTTTACTCTTATTTCTTAGCTATCTGATTATACATATTAGGGAGGATGTTTTTGGCTTTCCGGTTTCCATTGTAAATTTTCATATTATGTAGATTTTGAGTAATTCATGTATGCTTGACGTTTTCATGTTGTTCAACATGTCATATATATACATTTCTATACATATAATTTCATGTCATATTTGTATCTTATACTTTTGAGTCTATGGTTAAAGCATAAAGCATTGACATTTTACTGTTGTTGATGGCAGGAAGCTAGTGTAGAAGGGGATGTTTGATCTTCTTAAAGTGTATTCTAAAATTGCTTGCATTTGCTCGATTTCGACTAACATTATTGAACACACTAGTTAAGCTTCAATGGGGTCACTCCTGGTACCTTCCTCTTTACACCTTCCATCACTTTCCCATAGGTCCTTTCCTAAACTTCAGTCTCAACCTCGACATATTAGCCCTCGCCTATCCCATTGTGATCGATACCTGTTTCGCCTTTCTTTTCAGCCCATTTTTTCTTGTAAGTCATTACTATACAATCACCAGCCCTTAGCCGTAGCTGCAAATGCTTCGAGTGAGGGGGTGGTGTCAGTTATCAATATTGAAGATTTCAATGAAAAAAATTGGTCGTTTCTTGATTCAGATGAGTTAAATTCTGATCAAGCTAAGCAGAATATCGAACGCATCAGATCCGCCGGAAATATATCAGACACTTCTAGGGTTCTAGTTTCGGTCGGTTCAGAAGGATTCGTGGATTATTTAGTTGAATCTTCACCTAGTCAACTGTTGCTTGTAGTCCATGATTCTATATTTGTGTTAGCCATGATTAAAGAAAAATATGATGAGGTTAAGTGTTGGCAAGGGGAATTGATTTATGTTCCTGAGAAATGGTCGCCATTGGATGTTGTATTTCTCTATTTCCTGCCAGCTTTGCCTTTCGAACTTGATCAGATCCTTGCGGCAATGGCTAAACGTTGTTCATCAGGTAATCCATTTTTAACGGAGGTCTTCCATGGAAGCTGCTCTCAACCTGGCGTTGGGGGCAGCCTACTATCCTACCTCCCCCTTATCCCATTATATATGGGAATAGGGTCAGCTATTTTTTTATATATTGTTTGTGCTACAACTATGATATTTTCATGGTTAGAATGCAATAGCTTCTGATATAATAATAGAATGTTGGGTTTGAACTCTTAGTTTTAGTGATCAGAGTTCAGTCATTAACTTGGCAATTGAACCTATTTTGTCTACATTAGTCCGGCAAATTTTCCCAACTTTGTCCTTGAAATTGAATTTTTAGTCCCTTTGATTCCATGACACAAGCTTAGAGTGTGTCATCACCAAAATGGACCAAATTGTCATTTTTTAAGGAACCCACCCCCCCAAAAAAAAACAATACTAAAAGAAATGCCTCTACAAGGTCGGGCAGCCAGAACTCAGAAGTCGACACTTTCAAGATTTTTTCCATCCGTAAGAATTATCCTAGAACTCTCCAAATACATGGAAAAACAAAATTGAACATGCTGATGCCAGACGTGTATTGGTAACCAACACTGAGTGTATATAACCGTTTAAGCCATTGTGTTCATTTGTTGCTTCTTCTGCAATGTGAGATTCTGACTGGCTTTTGTATAGGTGCGAGAGTGGTGATTAGCTATCCCCTAGGAAGGGAAAAGCTAGAGCAGCAACGGAAACAGTTTCCTGACCTTATAATTGGAAACTTGCCGGAGAAAAAGCTGTTGCAGAAAGTTGCAGCTGATCATTCCTTTGAGATGACTGAATTTGTAGATGAGCCTGGATTTTATCTTGCTGTTTTGAAATTTACCAAGGCAAACAGTTAACTTTGTTTTTTGGATTTGTACTTAAAACTATGGTCTTCATTGTTAAATCAAATCTTTGGGTTTTACAGATTATGGTTCCCTGGTGAAATTTGGTCTCCCAAATGACAAGAACTTGGTGAAGAAGATCCCATTTTTGGGGACTGTTTGTTCTCCTAGATTGACTGGGATTTTTTTTGGTTTAGGGTTTATACTATTTAAGAGGATATTAGATGTCTAAGCCTATTCGAATCTGCAACCTCCACGTGCCTGCAACAATATCGAAGTAAATTGAATCAGAACCCAATTGGTTAGTTTTTCTATACAAGATGCAATTCTATTTTGTTTCAGCTCCAGATTTAACTGTATTAGAGGTGTAATTGGGTAGAATTTGATTTTAGTTGTAAGAACTCACTGCAGTAGAGGTGTAAATGAGTTGAATTGAATCCAAGTAAACAAAAGGTTGAGGTTGACTTGAAATTCGTGGCTCAAAGCTTATTTTGTGCATTGTTGAGCTTCACTTGTAAACCTTGGTCTTGATCAGATTCAATTAAACTCGTTTATTCAAATAACAAATGAGTCTGATTTTTGACTTAAAATTTGATTATTATAAATTTAATTCTTTATTAACTATATAAAGCATAAAATTAGATAGGGTTCAATCTATTCGAATGATGATAAGCATTAAGATGCAAATAAGTTTGATTTTCATACTTGATTTTAGCATTGAGATGCAATATGGCCATTTCAAACAATTTAGAAATGAAAAGAAATCCAAATTAATTGGGAGAAAGCAAAACCTCAAACCAGCAAAGCTTCATTAATGAAAACAAGAATAATACATAGAGCCTCAAAGGCACATTTTCATCCTCTACGATTTAAAAAGATAGAAAATTTGGGTAGCAATCCACTAAACAAAAACTATAAACTAAAATTGGATTTCCTTTCACCGTAAAAGATTATTGTATGCTGAATTACAAACGTCCATATTCTGTGAAATAAAGGTAGGGACTGAAATGCCAAATCAGTCGCCTTTACCTAACAAATTATATTAGAAGAACGAAAACCTTATGCCGTTTCTTGCTGCAAACAAACTGTACTCTTCGATACTAGTCTTCTTTTTATTGCAAGCACGATCACTCTCAACCTGAGATGCTGAAAATTGAGATGAAAGTTCTCCGGCAATCTCATCTTTCAGAGGGGTGGGATTAGATTTGCATCCTGTTGAAGTAGCCATCGGCCCACCGAAATGGAACAAGGAGAAACCAGTGTCATCCCTGTGTGATTTGGAAGAGACCTCATTTCGCCTTCCTCCTCCATTTGCTGCTTGTTCTATTGTATGCAACCTGCCAGGAGCAACCCTCTCAGTGTTAACTCCTGTGAAAGCTTCTTTTGTTGTAACTGACTTGAGAACCTGAATATGATCCTCAACATACAAGCCATTGGCCTTTGAAACCGGCTGATAGACTGGAACTAGACTAGGATTAAGCAGAGGGGGTACCAAAATGCTGCAGAGTGCCATATGACATGCATAAACCTGAGTTCCCATTTAAACCATAGCCAATAGGGTCGGTGTAAAAGTAAGGGTTCGGAGGAGGAAATGGCATTAATCCATTAGCAGGTGTAGCTGGCCAGGAAACAGGATTATGATGGTAGTAACTCATTGTTGAAGGAGCTTGATATACCGGAAACTGTATAGATTGGTTATGGACTGATGGAAACATGCCTTGATGTTGAGAACCCATAATAGCAGTTGGTTTTTCGTTTTCAGAAATTTCAACGGTTGTCTGTGGATTTTGGGAAACCTTGTTCCCTCCACCATCTGGTGAATGTGCAAACGAAGCCCGGCTTTCCTGACTTTTATCAATTCCTTTCACTTGACACTCGGTGAAACCATTTTGAATGCAGACTGAAGAATCTCTCCCGTTAGGTGAGTGTTCAAACAATGGCTGGTTTTCCAAAGCAACCCCTCCATTTGCATGCTGTATGCTATCAATATCTTTCACCTGATGTTCAGAGAAACCATTTTGAATGGAGATTGAAGTATCTTTCCCGTCTGATTGTTGACTGACCTCTTCAGAATCTGATGATGAAGATTCTAAATTTCCTTGATTCGAAGAGGAGGTAATGCTATCTCCTTCACTAAGGCATGAAGAGCAGTTATCAGAACTAGAAGTGCTACTCATCGTAGAATGAGAAATTCCATTCAAGGTAGGGTTTCTATAAGCACAAACTCCAACTTCCTTGGATGCTGCATCCCGCAAAGAATATTTATCCTGCTTTTCAACATGTCAGTCTTCATCTGTTGCAAGAGTGATTGGTTTGTTGACTTTGTTATGCTCATGATTAATTTTGCCCAAATTTACACTAGCTTCACTTGAGCATGTCTCACCAGATGACTTAACAAAGTTATTATCAGCCCCACCTCCTTCATTGTAAGTAGATGACCTTAGAGTAATATCTGTATCAGAATTGCTCCGGGGGTAATTTCTCTGGGCTTCTGCTGGCTCCCAAACTTTCTTGGAAAGAATTGAATCTCGACCAGAAGGGTTGTTTCCTGCAATAATTTTATTTTTTAGTCTTCCACATTCTTCGCGCATGTACTCTTGTTGATTATGCTTGTTACCACAATAGACTTGCTTGGACATATCCAATGCAGATTTTGACTTGCTTACAGACTTCGGTTCTCGGCCTTCTCTAGTAGCAGAAACATATGACTCAACCTTGGCTCTGTAGTCATTGTGTTGGCCGGAACTGCAAAATTCATAACTGTCGCTCCGACTGTTTGGACACTGAAACTTTTCAGTATACTTAACACCACAATTCTGGCTATTGGACTTTGCACTGCTTATCCTGGACTGCCTATTTAATCCATTGGTGCTCCTTGAAGGAACCTCAAAGTTTTCACTTCTGTATCTAGCTTCACATCTATTAACAGGACTTTCAGAAACAGCAAACCGATGCGATCAGACCATTTCACAGACGTATCAAATTGACCATCCTTGCAAAATTTCAATCTCCGTCGAGAAAATTTTGATTGTTCCATAGTGAAAGAGCCATTGTTACTTTGACATCTTCTCCTTCAGAACTACCAAAAGAGTGACTTTGCAAATTTGTAGTCAAATCCTCATCTAAAAACTGTTCTCCTAGATCATCTAGAGAATCCTGTGTACACACAATCATATCACCTGTCTCACTCACGGAGTCACTGCAATCAATAGCAATATTTTCTTCAACCTCGATATTTGTTGAAGATAATTCCTTGGATAAATCAGGAGCAGCAGGTGCAATGCTCGACTCTGCACATTTTTTCTCTTTCTCTCTTCCCTTTCAGCCTCTCCTTTCTCCTGAGCTTTTTCTCTCGTTCTTTTTTCCTTTTCCTCTCCTTCTGTTCTTCTTCACGCTTTTCCTTCTCTTCTTCTTCCAGAAGCTTCATCTGCAGAATCTGGTAACATTTATCAAAAATTAAAAAGTAACCCCCTATATCTACTATATGCAGAAAGGAAAGCCTATCCTGAAGTATGCCCAATTATTCAGACCTGCTTTTCCAACGTAATTATTTCCTTGCATGCAACATGAACACGTTCCTCCAACACAGTGGCAGATGCACTAAGCTCCTAGGGTCAAGTGCATCCCATTATTTTAAAAAAGTGGTTAAATTTAGTTTAATGTGTTAATGAAAAAATTATAATTTTTGCATACCCATTAATTTTAAAAAAAGAAAATTAAAATTTTGGACATCAATCTTAAATTTATGGATCCGTCACTGCTCCAACAGCTTTATTGCAAGACAAACAAAGATACTGTGTGCATTCTGGCGTGCTGTTCCTTCCCTAAAAGCCTTTTCAACCTGAAAATCAGAATTCAATTGTTAATGCAAAAACAAACAACTGAAACTACTGCTGATTATTTCTTAGAAATAGTATCCTTATAATCTACACCCAAAAACATACGCTTTTCTCAAGTAAAAAGTGCGCTACTGCCTCTGTATTAACATAAATTTTCAAAGCAACTAACAAGATGTCATATTAGCATTTGTCTCCAAACAAACTAACAGCATGCGGCCAGTTTAACATAATAAGGTCATACTTGTCTCATGATATCATTACTTACACAACAAACTAATTGCCTTTCTTCGCTCCAGCGGAGTATCTATACTGTGATGAACATCCTATGTAATATTTTTCAAACTAGTTACAATGTTCTCAACTTTATTTATTTCTCATATAGGTATTTCCCAGTCATCAAGTTTAAAGCATTTGCTTATCCTTCTTGAAGTTTAACCAAAGGCAACTTCTTAATTTCTCATTAGCCCTTCTCCTCTAAATAACAAGAGTAAAAAAAATTGAAACAGTGTTCTTTCAAGAAACAATTGGATGAAAGTGTGACTAAGAACTAGCTGCTAACAGATTCATCAATTCATTTATACCTTCCTAATGACAGCATTATTCTAAACAATTGGATGAAAGTGTGACTAAGAATTATCAGGCATATTGCACGACTCTAAAGCATAACACAGGAGAAAAGATTGGAACATGCCTGTTCCTTAAATATAACAGTAGCTGCATCATGAAGAAACTCTCAAGCAAGTTCAGGACTCTTCGCATGCTTTTGGGGACGGAAGCATTCTGCATCGATCTCATTTCCATCCTTGTCCATGGAATCATCATCCTGAAAAAATGAGCTAAAGTTTCAACATCTCTAATATCCAAACAATTTTTTTCCTATATCTCACAGAGTATGAGCTACCTTTTCTTCCTCAGCCTCTTCGGCATGTTCAAAAAATCTTCTAATATTTTCACCCCTTGTGATTGTAACATAACCATCTCCAACTACAAGCCTGCAATGCACACATTGTTGACCCTTTAATGCATGGGCTTTTACAGAAATTTCAGAGCAGCGGCAATCCAATTTCCATGCCCTCGGGGTAATATAACACGAACTCAAGCTATCAAGATCCAAACCACTGACTCGAACACTTCCACTCATGCCAACATTTTCAAATTCCATAATATCTGATTTTCCTTCCCCAGTTCCAACTGCCCATTCAAAGTGATGGTAAGTTCCAATAGTGTCGGCAAAAGTTTGGCGCC